GAGTTGACCATTGTTCATCCTATAACCCGACTAAGAGTGGAAGATGGTTCACAAATGCTGTGTTGGGAAGATACTTGGGAGTAAGGATCGATCTTGTCTAATCAATTCCCTTTGGTTGTTTAATCTATCATTTAGACACAATGTTCCTTTCTGTGTTTACATATCATACCGAGGGAAGCGTAGCTTGGAATTTTTATTTCCTATATAACCTATCCAATAGGTGGAGTCATGATATACTCAAGTTACTAACCCTTTTGCCCCACACCAGAATTAGAACTTTGGAACTCTCGGGTTTATACACTTGTAAGTCTTTTTTTTCTTAATCACATCACTCAATGACCAACCTGTTACCAGCTCCCTGTTGCAGAGGAATTTCAGAAGGTTTTTCAGTTCCATCAGAGATAACAGCGTTTGCATGGAACACTAATGGGATGTTACAAGTCCGTTAGCCCACCTGGGCTCTGTCTCCAGATATTTAAGTCGTATGCTACAAAGGGGTGACACATTCATTATTATTCATACATTGTGGGATGACCTGGAAAATGTGAACCATAATGTTTGATCTGTTTAGTTTGTCTTAGGTCACTCCTCCCATGATGGAATGTTTGTTGAGCTCTAGTATTCATGGGGAAAGGGCCGTGGAGGTGGCGAAACCCCTCTGCAAGGGTCTCTTTTTACAAGGTTATGGATTTTGTGGCTTGAATGGAATTGTAGGATTTTTTATGGCCATCATTTGAAGAGCTGTCGGAAAGGTGACTAAAACTCATGGAATTATTCCAATCTAGCTATCAACATGCTTCAGCAAGAACTTAGAGGCACTTACATTCTTCCTGTGGGCTAATTCTTTTCATGTTATATATATTCCATTTTGTTGTGTTTGATTTTCTGTATTTGACATTTTGAGGAGGATGTCCTTAAACATTTCATTTGGCTCCTAATAATATTTTTTTTTTCTATCAAAAGGACTTGTTGTGTACTTGACAAGAAGATGATTGTTGCAGTTTATAAGATATCCTAGATCTTCTATCTTTCTTATTTTATCTTCTCATTGTTTGGGTTACTACTGTGGGCAGTTTTATTCTCATTCATAATAGTCTCCAGTTTAAGCTTTTCAATATTTTCTTTTTGGAAATC